ATCAACAATGTCCTTGGGTGGAGCTTGAGTTGCTTTTTCCAGAGCACTTTCCCACTCTTCTTTTTGTCTGCCATAGAGGAACCAACCCAACACTACTAGGGCTAACGAGTTTCCGTGACAATATTTCACTACTGATTTTGATAGCTCCATATAACCTTTAGATGGCTCATCTCGCCTAAATGCTTTCAAATTGAAGAGATGAAAAGTATCTTCAAAATCCAAATCCGGAACATGATATGTTGAAAATGTCGCAGAAGCATTCTTCAGCACTTGCATGTCTCTTGATGTGATAATAATTCTACTTCCTTCTCCAAACCAATCAAGTACCTTCGTTGAATCTGCCGAGTTGAAAAAGCATAATTCTCAGAGAAAATAATCACAGATATTTCTGATTCCTCTATTGTTCTTTAAAGAATTGGTGAGATTGATTCTCCTTTTCGAAGTTCGTGATCCATAAAAGTATGAATGCCCGGATGTCACTGGTCAGTTGATGGAGGTGGAGAAGCATGAAATGTCTGGAGATGTTACATGTCTGGATATTGCAGCAGTACTAGAAGGCAGACAAAGATCTTGTTTTCTTGCTGTTGGTTCATATGATAAGACAATCTGTATCTTATCTTTGGATCCTCATGATTGTATGCAGATTCTTAGTGTGCAAAGTGTTTCTTCAGCCCCAGAATCTCTTCTGTTTCTTGAAGTCCAGGCATCCACTAGTGCTGAGGATGGTGTAGATCATCCTGCTAGCCTTTTCCTGAATGCTGGTTTACAGAATGGTGTCTTGTTTAGAACTGTCATGGATATGGTTACTGGTCAGCTTTTTGATTCTCGTTCTCGATTCTTGGGATTGAGAGCCCCAAAGCTATTTCCCATCATTGTAAGAGGCAAGTGTGCGATGCTTTGCTTGTCAAGTCCACCCTAGCTTGGTTACATCCACCAAGGACTTTTTCTTTTAACCCCCCCTTTCATATGAAACCCTTGAGTATGCGGCATCATTTTCATCTAATCAATGTGTGGAAGGTGTGTTGCTGCTGTGGCTGGCGAGGCATTGAGGATTTTTACAATTGAAAGGCTTGGGGAAACTTTTAATGAGACAGTAATTCCACTACATTACACACCATGAAAGTTTGTGCTGCAACCCAAAAAAAGGCTTTTGGTTATGATTGAGAGTGATCAAGGAGCCTTCACGGCTAAAGAGCGAGAAGCTGCAAGAAAAGAATGTTTTGAGGCTATTGGAACGGGGGAAAATGAAAATGGTAATGTAGCCCAAATGGAGAATGGTGGTGAGGATGAAGATAAAGATGATCCACTCTCTGATGAGCATTATGGTTATCCGAAAGCTGAATCAGAGAAATGGGCTTCCTGCATCAGAGTTCTTGATCCGAGATCTGGAAATACCGCTTGTCTTTTGGAGCTTCAGGATAATGAAGCTGCATTCAGTGTGTGCACAGTGAATTTCCATGATAAGGAGCATGGAACTCTTGTAGCCGTTGGTACCAGCACCGCCCATGCCCCATATTCCCACAATGCGAGCCTCAGTCAGAAGCCTTTGAATGTTTTTAATATGTCGAGCAATGCCACTGAGTCCTTCAAGATGAGATGATGACGCATAGCTCAACTTCCTCAAAATATCCTTGACAATCTCTTCAATAAGTTTGAATTCAGGTCTAGCACAAATGTCAATCAAAAGAAAACACATATTTAATAGGGAGAAAATAGGAATAGAAATAAAAACAACAACAATACTATAAACATCAACTAAATAAATCCCCCAAACCAACAACAAAAAGAATATTTTTGAAGCCACCTGTTGCTATGGGAATCCCATCCAGAGAGACTTGTGGATTGGAATAAAGCATTTCTCCACTTCTGCATTTTGTTGGTTGTCTTTAAATCTTTGCTTCAATGAATCAAATCCTTTTCCAAAATTCCCATTTCGTTTGCGTATGTCTGAGCAATCTACGTTATAGAAAATAGATATCACAACCCTTCTAAATTTATGCTTGCATTCTAATATATGAACAAGCTCATCCAGACACCAAGTTGAAGAAGCATAATGCTCAGAGAAAATAATCACAAATATTTGTGATTCCTCTATTGTTCTTTAAAGAACTGGTGAGATTGATTCTACTTTTCGAAGTTTGTGATCCGTAAAAGTGTGAATGCCAGCATTTCGAAGTCCTTTGTAAAGATCACTTGCAAAATTGTGGCGAGTGTCTTCTCCTCTAAAGCTAAGGAACACATCATACTTGGTAGCAGGAGGAGAAACCATTTGAGTTAAAATAATATCGTTTTCAGAGCTACAACAAGAAACAAACAGTGAACAGATATTGTGTTATGTGCAGGAGCAAATCAAACAATAAAATAAAGAGTGCGAGTTTATTTAGAAGAAGGTAGCTACCTAGCATCAGTAGCAACAGGTTGGTTACTATTACGCGAACGAGAGATGAGTCTGATAGCTTTGGAAATTGATACTCCCAATAGGATCAATAAAGCTTTTTGGAGCATTGAAGCAATGGTTGTGATAGCAGTTTCTAGCTTCAACCTTCGGCAGGTAAGGTAGCCAGGGACGAGATTATCAACACTAGAAGAAAGAATAAATTAAATTTTTTTGCAATATTTGTCCCGTGTGAAGAAAACACAGAAAATTTTAGGGAAACGCTTGCAAAATGGTATATTATAATAGGATGATGCAAGTGGAAGAGAGAAAAAAAAAAAGAATGAATGGACAGTATTAACCTGGTGGATGTCAGCCTAATTAGCTCACAAGGTCTAAAACATGTCAGTTTCAAGCTTAATTTGCAGACGTCCTCCTCTTCAATCAGGTTCTTCAAACAAATTTAACGAATAATTAATAATTGAATATAAGAAGTTTTCTAGGATTAACACAGACACTAGGGAAAGCACCGGTAAAATCGGAGATGGGTGGGATCAAGCAAGTGGATTATGAAAAAAGAGAGTATGCGCTGTTGGTTTATAGCGATGCCTTTTTTTAAGCATAACTAAATGGGGAGTGATTAGGATGAAAGAAAGAACAGGCACTTTGCTTTTAATTTTATAATATAATAAATAAATCAATTGTTTGCACTTTTCTTCAATTGTTTGCTTTAAAGAAATTGAATAAAATAAATGAAGACTTTGGTCAATAGATCTACGACCATAAAGCAGCTAGGAAGGAGAATCAATCAACAGCTAGCACTAGGAGAAGAAAATAGAAAATCCTTTGCAGATTTTTTCTGCGAAAATTCCCCGCTGGGGGTGGGGGATGCAGGGAAAACAGTAGAAGGATAACGGATCTATGCGATAAAGCGAGGAAAAGAGAAGAAATGAACCTGGACGGATGTGGAGGGAAGCGAAAGAAATAGCTCTCACAAAATGGCAGCTTCAGAACTCACAAACTTTGCTTTCTATTGAAACAAGCCCTTCAGTTCAGATTCAGAGATCACCAAATGCCTCACATGTGTTTGTCTCCGTGTTTCAGAGGCTCTTATTCCAGTTTCTGGGAAGCTCGCCCGTTGATGGTTTGGCTCTTGATTAACATGATAAAAAGATCAAACGAAAATATTTAGCAAGTGGGAGCAAGTTGCGGAAGGATCAACATACAGCAACTTGATGGAGAGTAACGATTGATGCTAAAATGAAGAGCATATATTTATGGATGTAATAATAGTGCGGAAGAAAGAGTTCATCATGGGGCCAACTTACCAGTCAAGTCCACACAACTTTACTAATTTTTTTTTTTTAAAAAAAAAACCACTTGATTTCTTTTAAAAGAAGCAGAGCTACAGTGAGTAAAAGTACACGCGTTGAAGGCATATTAGCCAGGCCGCGTGTTAATGGTTTTAATAAATTCATATGCATTGATATTTTTTGTTTGTTTTCTGTGGGGAAAAAAAATCAAAACCGTAAAAATTCTAGGAAAATACTGGAAAACCAGGAGATCGGTGGGATTAAGCAAATGGATCATGAGAAAAAAGGATACGCCCTGCTGGTTAGGGCCGTTCACGGGACGAATCGAGACCGGGATAGCCCCATCTGGTTCCGTCCCAATAAACAGTAATAGGACAGAAAATCTATCCCGTGTCCCGGCCTGTCCCGGTGTTGTCCTGATTCTAGTCGGGACGGAACCGGGACATGCCGACGTTTTTTTTAAAATTTTTTTAATAAAATCTGATTTTTTTTAGTTATAGTTTTTTGGACTTAGGCCTTATAAAAACATCTTTTTATTTTTTTATTTGGTTGGGCACTCTTAAACAAAAGCCCAAAATATTACATATCATAGTCATTAAAAACTCTACACAAAAGGTTTTAACACAATAAAAACTTGCTAAAAATTCTAATTATCAATAATCTCAAATCATCAACAAATATAAAAACTCTAAATAAATATATCCATAATTCCATATAATAGTCTCAAATCTTAGAAAAATATGAAAAAAATGATATTGTATAAATAGAATAAAAAATTAAAAAAAAAAAAGAACTGGGACGGACCGGGACAGGACGACCCTGTCCTGTGTCCTGTCCTATCCCAGTCCCTTTTTTGTCCCGTCCCAAAAAATTTCAGGACGGGTCTGTTCTATCCCAATAAGACCAAGACGGGCCGGCCTTAAACACCCCTGCTGCTGATTACCTTTTTCACGTATAACAGTGAAATGGGGAGTCATTAAGGCGGACAAAAGAAGCACTTCACTTTTTTAAATAAAATAAATAAATCAGTCGTTTACTTCGCTAAGAAAAATATGAATAAATAAATAAAGAGCTTAATCAATAGATCAAGTGCGTCCATATCTTTGAAGGTTTTAGGACTTTGTTTTTCAGAAGTTGAAGTGTAGAAGAAATTCAAATGTTTAGTTTTACTAGATGTACGACAGTCAGGGAGCTAAGGAGGAGATTGAATCAACAGCACTAGGAGAAGAAATAAAAGAACAGATCTTTTGCAGGCAGAAGAATAGGAGGCTGATGGATTCATGGGACAAAGCGATTAAAAGAGAAGAAAGAACCTGGATGTGGAGGGAAGCGCCAAAGAAATAGCTCATAAGCAAAGCTCGGTCTCAAAAATGGCAGCTTCAGAATTTGCAGATCAGAATTTATCTCAGCCTTCCTAGTCAACAAGTCAAGTCGTGCCGCGCTTGTTACTTTTGTGGATTGCGGTGTTGCTTCCTTGTATCATCATTCGGCCATTTGCTTGATCGGAAGGTGAGGGTGTGTCTCCTTGTCTCTTTTCCTTTCCTTTTCTCTTTATAAATATTTCAAAAGTGGGACGAAGTTGCGAGACAACTAAACTTTACTTATTTATTTCATTTTTTTTATCAACAACAACTTTATTTATTTTAAAAGTACGCATGTTAAAGTTGTTTTAATGGTTTTGGTGCTTTAATTTCTTTATTATTTCTTTTACAAAGAAATTTCCAAGCTTTTTCGCTTGTGGCCGACAGAGCGCTACCTTCATTACGCGCCCCGCACTATCTGACGATTATACAAATGCATATTTTGGAGGCTCTAATATCCCGCCTCGTTCCAAATGTTATTGTAATACCCCAACTTTCTTATTCTCTGTCCCGTATTAAATGTAAGGACTACATATCTAATTTTAATTTTAAGAGATTAGAAAAATTAGTTCAGATAATTAGTAGTATTTATGCAATCAATATGTAAATTCTTCTAAAATAGATTTTATATTATTATAGTAATTTTGTATTCCACGCCTTAGAATGAGAACATGTGGAGTGCTTATATTGTTTCTCTCATTTTTGCTGTGTTGTAGCATACTAATAGAGTTATAATTCTTCTGCTGCAAACTACTATTGCCATGTAACTCCACAAAAAACAAAAGAAAAAAAAAAACTGCGCACACAAAAATCACTTCAAAAGAAAGAAATAGAGATAGAATTGTAGTAAATTTTCTGTTTTCTGTTTTCTTTTTCTTTTTTTTTTTGTGTAAAGAAGTTGAAAGGATTTACACAAAACAGAGGGAGCATTATTTACCAACATCTCTTTCTTCTTTGAGAGCTCTCGAGGTACTGGCCTATTGGGGATGATTGTTTGCTTTGGTGCTTTAATGGTGTTCTTTGAAAATGCATCTTTTTGGCAAAAAGTTCTTTTTTGGTTGCATATTTATGGGCTTTGATATGGCCAAGAAACAGAGTAAACCGCACTCATCGATGATTTTGGTAATTGAGTTAAAACAAAACCTTTATGTTTTTCTTCATGTTCGATCGTGCAAACAAAAGCAAGTCATTTTGGTACGTACAATGTGATATTTTCAAAGGAAGCCATTCAAGTGTTTCGATCACAGATTTTAAGTCTTCATGCTCTTAGTGCTTGGCATTTTGTTATCGATTGTTATTTTAATATCCTTTTTCCCTGTTCTGTTTGCTTGTGCTTAGAACCGTAGAGCAATGTTTATTTCCAACATGATGGTTATGAATTCGAATTTGTTCAGGAAACTCATATTCATGGCGTTCCCGAATTTCTAGATGACTCTGAATTTTATCAGCAATTACTAAAAAAGTTTTTCAAGACAGTCGATCCTACATCATCTGGTAAGCAATAATTGTCTTGTTTTTGGATGAAGAGGCATTATTTATATATTGTATTCATATTTTTACTTCTGATGATGTTGTCGGAATATTAGATTGGTTAGGACATCCTCTTTTGTTTAACTTATAATGTATTTTGGCAATTATGAGCGAATTACACTTGATATTTAGCGTGAAAGGTTTCCTAGAGAGATTGTAAAATTAATAGTGATTTATTTTTTTTCCCCAATCTAAATAGTTTTGATCAAATTTTTTGATCCTAGAATTAGCACGAGCTGCCTTCCTAGAAATCATAGTGTTAACCTTATGCCATGCAAGCAGAAGTCATGTTCTTATTTTCCACTGTTGTGAATCACACAGAGAAAGCACTTTATGCTTTGAAGAAGACGCAGCCAAAGAAAAGGAAATTTGTTGATCGTCGGGCCTCAAAAAGTTGCAAGATAAGGTTAGTTGATGAAGATGGCATTTCCTTGTTTCATTCCATTACTTTTTGTCACGTGTATATGCATATATATTGCTAAATTCTCTAGAATTGAAAGGAGATGTTTGACTAATTTGCTATTTATATTGTGTGATGTGGCATTGAAGGTATAATGTTCATGAAAATGTCGTAAACTTCATGGCTCCTGAGTCTAGGAATTCTTCCACCTATGGTTCCTAAACTTTTTGGAGATTTGTTTGGGTTAAAGTCACAGAGATTATCTATTGGGATAGCATAATCATGCACTTGGAAAACAGATAATGACATCAAGTGTTGCGTAGTAACTTATCATAATATATTTGTACTCATCTAACCAACATTATATTGTTTATTGAGGAATTTTATTTTTCTCCTTAAAAGGCAAAAATTTAGTGTAGCGGTGAGGATTGGTAGTTTACAAAACGTTTTAGTTTCAAATCTTCTATGTTCTTAATGTATTTATCTTTCGTGGACAGTATATATTTCCATGAGCAATCAGTCCAACTGAGGCATAGTTATCCATTACATTCATACTGAATAGCAATTCCATTATGTGGAATGATGATAAATCTTATTTAAAATGCATACATTAAAAGCAAGTGATTATTTTTCTGCCTCTTTTTTACATGCTTGATACTTTAAGTTTACATCAAATTTCATTTTAATTTCTTAAGTTTTTAAAGTATATTTTTAGTTTCTTAATTTTAACATGTTAAATTTAAGATTAAATTAAAATTTGACGTAGATTTAAAGGACTAAGCATAGATGTTATACTTTTTTTGATTAAATCTATATCTAACAAGGATAAATTCAGTAATTTAGTGAGAAGATTGATGTTATTACCTGCGTCACGAACTTGAAAAGACTGATCAACCGTATAAATAAAATCAATGTGAATAGAAACTTTTGTCAATTAACTGCTAGTCTTAGTGCTACTTGTACCACATTTTCAAAACTTAATAACTATTTCAAAGTTGATTAATAAATCACACCTAACATAAATGCATGCCTCAAACAATTTTAGTCATATTTAAAGAAAGGATTTTTTTTAATGGTCGAGTCTAACTAAAAAAGTTTCAACATGCAAACAAATAAAACTGAGGAACTTCAAGTTAAATATTGAGACTAACTGAAAATTTTCACCAATAAACAAAAATTAAGAGTATAAAATATGGAATAATTTTTTTTAAAAAAAAAAAACTATTACCTTGTCATTGTCGAAAAATGATAGGTATCATTGTGCCTCCATTAACAAAGAGAAGTTACAAGAGTAAGAGATAAAAAAATTAATTAAAATCTTTCAACCCTACTTCAATTTGATAAAAAATCAAACTTATTAAATTTTCCACTCTTTCATTATCATTCAACCAGACAAAGTTAATGCATAAAGACATGGTTTTTGCTGTAAAAAAAATAATGACGTTTCATGAAGTGAACAACTTATTGTAATAAAATATGAGTTATGGTAATATACTCCGTTATAGTTTAATTTAGTAAAATCTATTTTATGCAAACAGGCTATACATGTTTTTGAAGTACAAATTAGAGGATACTCTATGTATGGTAAATAATGAATAATCCCAAGGAAATTGCTTCGCAATAGAAAATTATTTTTCCACTTATTTTTAAATGAGCTATACAATGTACACGGGCAGAAAGTAACAAACAATAGAACAATTATTGAAAAGAAACATTAAGATTAATAATTTCTCGAGTGTTTTCTAAAGTTGTGAGGAAACGCTCGATAAATGACACTTCAATTTATATATATATATATATATATATATCTTTGATGTCATATAATATGAAGGAAAAATTACTGCTAGATCTCAAGTGAGAAAACCAAGTATAAATAAATTCTTTTTTGAAAAAAAGTGTAAATGACCACAGTGCCAATTAACCACGTTGATCAACTTGGAATGATTGACGGTGGCCGATCAAACAAATATCTTTTATTTTAATGTAGTTTACAATTTAAATATTATAACATTTTAACATTTACAAGCTAAGTCAAGTCATAAGCAGTCATTCCACTTTCTTGTATATAATAAAATTGCTTAGTAAGGAAATTGTTTGCCATGCTAGTTACTATACTCAGATCACATGGAGAGTAACACACACAACAGGTGCAGTTATTGTGAAGCCAAAATAAGATTAACAATTTTTATGTTATAGAGTTGTGAGGAGGCCCTTCGTACATGAATTACATATTACAAAAACAGAAAAATTAATATCTCATAAAAATATAATATTAATATGCAATAAAAAAAATAAATGAGACTTATTCAAATAAGAATTTTATGACCTGAAAAATTTAAGTGATAATTAATATCACCAGTAGTTCTTCAAAAAGAAAACAACTAAGTCATGACCATCGAAATAATTATTTGACCAGTAGTGACTACCAAAAGAAAGAAAATGAGGATAGTCTGGTTTCCCCTCCAAGCCATTATAAAAGACTCTCAAAGAATGATGAGGTAAAGCGGATATTGGGAAAGAGAGTTGTACCGCTAGGTGAGGCTGAATCGTCCTTCTGCATTCTTCATTAAGTGATTTGAGGAATATTGAAACTTGAGGGATGCTACTGCAACCTGCATTAATATTCCCAATACTTTCACCCTCCTTTAATGTCAGTCGAATCAATAGTGACCAGCGAGGGATGGTGTTGGGAATAAGTAGTGTTGTTAATAATGTATCGTCCATCTTACTATCATCCTCATCAGCCTCTTCTTGTTCATCTTCCATTAATAATAATGTCATCTCTACTACTTGATTACCTTTACTACTGACGTCTCTTATAATCATTTCTCTATCATCCTCATCCTCTTCTTTATCATCTTCTACACCCCTTTCGCCTCTATCACCCCTCAACCTCACAATAGTACCATAGTTGACATTTTGACTGCAATAATGATGAACATCATAGGTATGATGTTGCTTGAAATCATGCCCAAACTCAATTGGACCCTGTAACCATTCGACTGTCTTCACAAATGGAAGTAAAGTCGCCAAACTTTGTATTCCCATTGTCGTGAATTCTGCCATCTCTTTCAATGACATTGTCAC